AAATTCTATATAAGAAAACTTAACAAAAATTTTTACAAACTTCTTAAAACCCATATCCAATCAATCTTTCAAACCTAAAATTAGACTTGCAAAATAAAAACTATACTTACAAATCCAAAACTATAATTCTAAACACCAGTATACCTACAAACCCAAACTTATACCTACAAACCCAAAATCAAATTATAATAAATGCAAACCCAAACCTCTACTAAAAATTACCATCATTTGATTATTCAGCAAACACAAAATATCATCACTTTTAACCCAAAAAGAACAATAATTTCAAAGTCCTATTTTAAACTTTCCCAACACCCTATTAAAACTCTTTCAAAATCAAAACGCCAAACCTAATTTCTATCAAACACCCATTATACACAGAAGAAAAAATGGCTGACAACAACTATTCTGAGAGTCAAAACAGCGCAATCCTGGATAAAGCTCCCTGATTCACCATCGTTTTAAAACATCAAGATATCATTGAAGATCTTATGATGAAAATCTTTCAAACCCAACTTGATTTCTTTTTTATTCATCTAATTCCTTCAAAATATATGCACAATTTCTACATGATAAACATAGCAGTAATTTATGTATGGTTTTTTTGTTTTTCCTCTTTCATATTCCATATAACTAAAACTTTAATCAACTAAAGTTAGGGTTTTTTCTTATTTTTGTATCTAAAAAAAAATTCTCATATACAATGTTACTTGGATCTGTTCAGATCTACTCATATTTGTTTAAAATTTTTACAGCACGGTTCAAGTTTTAACCTATAAAACTTTATTTTCTATCTTTAAAATATGTGCAATTTAACATTTATTTAATTTGTTTTATCTCTTCTTACTATGTTTTCATTCATCTAAAACTATGATTTTTCTAACTTTACTATCTAGATTGCATTTAAGCTCAAAAAAATTAACTTTTATTAAGGTTATTCTATCTCTTCTTTGTATAGAATTCAATCATATTATATAAATTATATACTATTTTCAATTATGTTATTAAACAATCAAAATAAAGATAAAAAAAATTGACTGCTTAGGTAAACTATATCTCATAAAGAATGCTAACCCTAAATAATTCTAAATGATATTAATTATTGACAAAATATAATTTAAATGAATAACTATTAGAATAAAAATAGCAAGTTTTTGTGATAAATGGTTTTTGTATTTTAACAAAAAACTTATAAACCCTAAATTCAAATTCATTTTTTGTTGTTTTCTTATTACTATTTTAACTTGCTAATGGTTTGGTTGTCTTTATTACAAATGTTTCTATGATTTTCCAATTGAATTAATAATTTTTTCATTTTGTTTATGTAATGAGATGTTTGGCATAAAAAAAAAAAATTCAATATCTTCTAATGTTATCTGTCTTGATTTTCACTGTTGTTTACTTCTTGCTATTGCTTTTACTGCCACCACTAGATGAATATTCATAATTTATCACATCTACACAGAATTATTTCCCATATATTTCTATATTTTCATGTATTTCACTTTGTCTAAATTGTAAATGTAATAAAAGTATTTAGAATTATCATTGTAAATAGTTTTAATCATTTGATTCAATTTTGTTTTATCTATTTTTACTTTATTATAATAAACACATCTTTAACACAATCATAAACTAACTATCTATATTATGCTTTATTATTACAAGTACTTTCAGAAAGTTTTGCTCAATAGCAGCTATTTCAACTCCAACACCTATGCAAACTAACAATTTTCTCCTAAATTCATTAAAAATGGAATTGAAAAAAACTAACAGTAGACTATGCTTACAAAATGGGTGGAAGAAATTTGTTAAAGCACATAATTTTAAAAACAGTAACATTTTAACTTTCAAATACAATTACAATATGAATTTTAAAGCTTTTCCACCTGTTGAATCAACTGACTTGCAAGAAGTATAAGGTGATATCTTCATTTAACACTTATTACATTTATTTCTTATATACTTAAATTATGTTTATTATTTTTTCTACTGTTTCAATTAAAGAAAATAAAAAAGCCTAAACAAATTTTACTTTTGATTGTGATACAAAAAATGAAGATGATGCTTATTGTGATGATCCTGTATTTCACTATTTGATAACCAACATACACATTAGAATAAATCCTACTATGGTAAAGAATTACTTACACACTACTACCATGAATTACTATATCATTTTGCTAATAAATAAAATTGAATAAACAATGCATTCAAATTACCTATTAACAATTTTTTATCATGTTATATATGCACAATATTACTGCTTCTTTCCATAAGTACTTTATAGATCAACATACTTTAATTACCCTACTGATTTATGAAGAGAACAAGTCCTAGAGTATCCATTCAATGCTTAAAATAAATCATTTACAGAATGATGAAGCAAATTGGTCACTGATAATCACTTGAAAGTTGGTGATTATGCCTCTTTAGCATGATTAGAACCAACACTTTTAAAGTCATCATCTATCCTAATTATGAATAATCTTTTTTATTATTGTATTGTATGTGAACAATCTTTTTCATTACTATGCATTAGACTATAAACTTTAATTTAGTTCTTATCTTATGTTCAGAACTTAAACAATATCTTCTTTATAATTAAACTATAAATTATACTATTAGCATTTTGTTAATTTTAATCAAGCCCGCAATATAGGGTGGGCATCCAATCTAGTATATAATTAAATTCAACATATGAAAAAACAAGGATTAGGGTTAATTCACTTCAGGAAAAGTTATAATTTATAATATTTGTCTTTCTTCAATGCAATTAGCTTATTTATATCGATCCCTAAAACCAAATGCAATTAATCCTATTTTTTTTCTTATCTTGAAAATTGATGCTGCATCTCTATTTTATACTACTCCCTCCCATTTTGTATCTTTATATATATTTGATTTTATCAAAAAAATTCAACTAATTGAATCATTATTTTTAAAATTATATTAAATTAAAATTTTATAAAATATATTTTTAAAATTTTGAAATTCAAATTTTACAAATTTTATTTTTAATTTTATAACTTTATTAAAAATAATGATCAATATTTTGTTTTTTTGATCCAAAAATATCAATAAAAAATAAATGTAAAAGGATAATAAGGATATATATATTTTTTACTTAGGAATATTTTCATTCTCCATTTTTTATTTTGTGCCATTTGAACATTGCTATTTAAGCACAAGTCATTTGTCATGTCAGTTTCATTAGACATTCATTAATCTATAATATTTATGAATTTAATTAATTGTCAATGTATATAGTTCATATCATTTAAAATTCAAGTCTAGATTCATATTTATTACATTTCAATATTCATGAATTTTATCATTCATAAATTTATAATATCAATAAACCTAATTAATTATGAATAAATATATTTTGTATTCATGAACTTAAACGTTCAAGAATTTATAATATTCATAAACTTAATTAATTATGGATAAATGTATTTCGTGTTTTGTGTCATTTAAATTATGAGTCTAAATTCATATTTACTATTTATTAGTTACTAATCAAATTCAAATGAATTTAATCATTTATGAATCTATGATATTTATAAATCCAATTAATTGTAAATAAATGTATTTATTGTTTAATATAATTTAAGTTTAACATATTTATTAAATAATATAAATACACATAATCATCGCATTAATTTTTTTATCACATACAGAGCAAGGAAAGAACTTACGATCAATTTAGCTTGGAATGAAAGGTACTATAATCCACATTTTGTTCTTGAACACACAATCTACAAACGAAAAATATAATACAAACTTTTTTAGATGTAACCTAACTTTACGAATACTAATTTTTCTTCTTTGAATTGCAGTTTGACAAATATGAAAGATTAAATATGTGTAACCATAATCTATCTTACAATGGCAGGCTTGGATATCAAACTAACTAAAAGGATTTTTTTATAACAAACTTCAGTTTAATTATTGAAGGCAGTACTATTTATACTACCATTTTTTATTGAACTATATAATTACATAAATTTTTTTGGTTATAATACTTATTTGAACATAATATTTATAATATAAATTTATAAATTATAAATAGTATTTTTTATGCATGTTTAATAGGACTAATAAATGATATGAAAAACTTGCAGCACTAATAAATATACATATATATATATATATAGAGAGAGAGAGAGAGAGAAATATTTACTTATATTAATATAAAAACTATATTTTTTATTTTTAAATCAAAATTATTAAATGTAAGTATTTTGAATTTAATTTTAATTCAATAATAAAAAATATAACTCTTACATTAATATAAGTGATTTATATATATATATTTATATATTTATATATATACAAAGACAAATCAGCGAGCCGCCCAAGATAATAATTAATGTTTTATAAGCTTGACTCCATTATTTATTTTCGAAACTCTCAATAATAAAAGTCTTCAACTTGGTTACTAAAAAAAACAAAACAAAACAGTCTTCAACTTGGAAACATGCACGTGAAACATAACCTTTTTATTCTAAAAAGAAAAGTCTTTTAGGCCAAATTATATTAATTGTGTGCTTGTCAGTTTACAATATTTCTAAAAGAAAAAGGAGAAAAATAGAAACGTATACTAAAGAAACACTGACATGCAACAAAATTGCCTTGTCTTGCCTTGTCAGTTAGAATATTTCCAAAAAAAAAAAGAGGAAAAATACAAGCATGCACATGTAATGTATGTTTATAACGCTGTGTAGTGATTTTCATGGCAGCAGTGGGCCAGCGGAAATGATACATACAGGTGATAAAGCCATAAACCTAACCCCTCCCCCACCCCCCCTCTTTTCAACTGTTTTAACTTGGTAAACTAAAAGTAAAACCAATCATTTTCAACTCACTGTACAAATATGCACTTTCCCTTTTCCAAGTTAATTTCCAATCGTCGGTGCTTTATTTTCCACCAAATAAACTGACTTTCTTTCTTCCAATTTATAAATTGTTTCATTTTAATTTTTACATCCAAATTTGATCATATATATCCAAACTTTTTTTCCTTTTTCAACTTTCTAATTTTCCTTTAGAAAATGAAACTTTGTATTAACCCCAAAGATAGAAAATTTCCCATTATTTCTTTCAAGTTTATATTTTAGATATGCACAAATCCATCGATTTTCAATTACAAGCACGAATTTTACTGATTGAATGGCTATGAAATAAGATATACGTAATCCATTTCATCCATATCTGCAACCTTGAAAACAATTGTTCGGGGCAGCTGTTAAATATATATTAAAGGAAAGCATTCAATCAACCCATCAAAAAAGCTTCTTCTTGGATTCAAGTTTATGCTAGCTTTTACATTCGCATAAATTAGTTGAATCAAGATTTCATAACAGGAAAATGTTAACGACCGGAGCAACGGTTCTTCCTTGTAAAGTTAAGTGCCTTCATGAGGAGTCCTTGTGCAGATTTCAACCGGCTGCCATACTCAAAACTGGCCTTTTTTTGGCCAATATCTCAAAGAAAAAGAATGAGCAGCTTTTTCAGAGAAATCAAACCTGTTTGCCATCACTGATCAGCGCTGGCGGCCTTGGGTTGCAGACTAATAGAAATAGGAAGCTGTAATCTTATGTTTACTTCCCAAAAATTTTTCTTCTTCTTTTTGAACTCTGAATCTCCATAGATATATGTTAGCTATATATTTTGCTGTTTTTTCCTAATAGATAATGAATGAATGCTGCAGGAACAATATGGTCGTCTGCTGCAGGTTGGAATCAAGACCTCCACCATTTCCGTTTAATTTTTTTCCTGGTTCCAACAACTGGTTAGTCAAATATAGAAATCTATTGGATCAGTAACACTATATGTTTCTGTTATTACATTAGTATTGCAAAGTTGCAATAATCAAGGTGTTCACAATTATATTATCTGTAGGCAACCCTGGGTTCTGGGAACGGTACTATCAGTAATCCTACCCTTTACGACGAGCAAATGGGGGCCTTTATTAAAACTGAAAAGTGAGGATCATCATCATAATCTTCTTCTTCTTCAGCTGCTTCTTCTTCTTAAAGTAATTAGGCATTTGATTAATATATATATCTTTTTTGGGTGCAAATATTCTATATATGTAGATCAGGCTGACAACATTCTAGAGGTAGCTGAACAAATTTCGGATGTAGTAGAAGAAGTGGCAGAGAAAGTGGAGAAGATAGCAGATGAGGTTGGTGATCAGCTGCCGGATGGTGGAAAACTCCAAGCTACTCTTGAAGTGGTTGAAGATTTAGCCGAAGAAACAGCTAAGAACGCACGACTTGCCGGCGATCTCATTGACAAGGTCAGTTTTTTACCAAATTAAAAATCTTTCCTTTCCATACAAAAATTAACCTGGCTAAGCTGTAGGATAGTGAAAATAGATCTTCTATTAAGCAACAAAACTAACTTACTAGTATAGTAACATGCAAAAGATAAGAATGAAATCCAAGTAGATCAGATGATCATTCCTAGCCAATTAATAAATTAATTTAACTTGATCCATGTTCACAAATTCAACTTGCAATTTTAAAAATTAATTAGGTTAGCATATAATATTTTGGCATGACATCATTCCTTAGATCATAAAAAATATATATATCTTGAGATGAAGGATGTGTACATATATTTTAATTTTTTGTCTTAAATGGTTTATTACAGTACCAGAGGATTGATGTTTACATATATTTTCATCTAAATGCAGGTGCAAGAAATGGAAGACAAGCTGGAGTCGTTCATGGAATCAGTCGACGCTAAAAGCAATGAGAAACCCAATAAAACTTAGGATAGAGATGATGTTTATGGGTCAAATCAAATTGGATCAAGCTCCATTAGCATGTTTAAAAACTTGTTTAAGGCTTATCCATAAAAATTTATTTGAATTCTGTTATTATTTAAAATATTATTAAAAAATTAAAAATATATTTCTATGTTGATATTTAGTTGAAATTGACTCAAAATTCCCAAAATATGAAAATCCAACCAACAAAAAAATTAAACCAACGTAACTATCAAAACAAAATGGCAAAAAATTTAATTGGAATTTACTAACTCTTGATAATTAAAAAGAAAAAAGTCAATAAGGCTAGGGCTGAGCAATTGTCGGTTTCAACCAACAAAACTAATCAAAACCAATGTTATTTGTTTAATTGGGAAGGATTCATCAGTTTTAATGGGTATTTCGATTAGGGCTTCGGTTTAGACGATTTATATGGTCAGTTCTCGATATTAGTTTTAAAGACCTGAATTGTCTGAAAAAATCGATCTTTTTTACCTTTAACATTTTTACTTTTTATCTTATTTTATCAAATTAATAAAACTAAAATGAAACAACCCTAGCCATTCTCTGTAAGTCTTCAACAATTCAAGACATTTCTTCAGTCCTCACACCCTTGGTTGTTGACCCCCTCATTCAGCCCCTCTTTGGTTTTTTGCCAAATACCAATGTGCCTCTCATCAGTTGGCTCTCGACCTTTCAAGCTCAAGCTTTCCTCACACTCTATCTCTTAGTCTCTCCAATGCTTCATCCCATACTTCACTTGCCCTTGGTGCACCCCATCTCCTTAAGTCTGGCATGATGATCGACAGCTCCACTGTTCCACCAAACCTTAAAGACTTAAAAATTTATCAAAGGTCTATTGCTTTTGCCTTTATGTTTCTTGTGAACGACAGAATAAGTGTTATAACGGTTTTGGGACCATTGGATAAAAAAATTTTAATCAAGTAAAACAAGAGGAGTAGCCACCTAAAAGTTTATCTTTTAATAAAGCAGTAAAACGAGTTTAAAGTTTATCAAAAAGATAATTTTGGTCTATAAAAAAATTAGGTTTGGGAGTCAATTATGCATGAGAAAGAATTAGCATCCCCACGATGCCTATGAAAATTGATACCAATTAATCATGCCTTATCTTTGGGGTTGGATAAAATTGTTTTAATTTAAAATTTAATAATAATTCTTTTTTAAAAAAAAATCAATTTTATTATAAGAATTTGTTTAAGAATATTTTGAAAATCTTTAATTTAAAGATTTACAAAAAAATTCTCCAACATCTAGGCAAAACTTTAAAGATAAAAACTTTAAAGATAATTTTTTTACCTAAGATTCTCCACGACATTCCTTAAAAATGAAAATAACATTATTTGCAGATGATAACGGTTGGTTTCTCTGTATTATCTAGGTAAAGTATCAAAAATTATTTCTCTTATAATGCTATTTTAGTTTTATTTCAAAATCATACTTTCGAGTAAAATTTTTCATAGCATTTTATGCAAAAAAATCGATAATGCTACAATTAACCTAAAAATAATAGTAACAATTAAAAAGGAACATATGGGATAAATGCAAATTATAATAAAAAAATAAATATATGCAAATAAATGTCATGCAAGATAATGAAATGCCATTTTATGATTGGATCCTTAAATATAAAGAGATCACCCGAACTCTCCAACATCTAGATAGAGTTTAAGTGCGACTATTAATATTTAAGATCCCATTTTTAGTGATATTTCTTAACTCTTTCGTTTAATCTTATTATTATTTTTAGGTTAAGGGATTATACGAAAAAAAAAAATTTATCAAATAAATTTTCCTAAATATCCCCATTCTTGAGGCAGCATTCAGGAATAGCTTACTTTATGAGAGATTTTATTCAAATCTTTTAAATTTTAGGATGGTTTTGGAGTATGAGCTTAGGTCATGATTTTTTTAAATCTCATTTTGGGGTTTAGGGGTTTGGAGTTTTAGGATTTTGAGGTTTTAGGTTTTAGGGTTTCAAGATTTTAAGGTTTTGAATGTTTATGGTTTTGAAGTTTCAAGGTTTCGAGATTTATCATTTTGAGTTTTTAAGGTTTTGAAATTTTTTTCTTATGAGAAAAATAGGAATTATTGATAACCTGAATTTTTTCAATTATTTCTAACATTTAGGTAAATTTTCAAAGTAAGTTTGATTTTCGTATATTTTTATTGGTGCCAAGCTCTAACCTGAGAGTATTCCTATAAATACATAATGGAATGACGGTTAGAGACAAAAGTAAGGGGTGTTCCTTGTGTTTGTACTTCAACGTACAAGTCAATAAAGATCAGGTCAGGAAGAAAGTAAAAAAGTAAAAAAGAGAAAGAAAGAGATAAATAAGATGAACTTGACTTCATGGTGCCTAAATCTTCATATTTATAAGTAAGCTGAAGGAGAAAAAAAAGGGGACCTGAGTCTTTATAGTGCCTGAGTCTTCATATTTATAGATAAGCTGAAGGAGACAAAAAAAAAGATAATTAAAACAGGGCTGAGTTAAAGTAGCATTGACCATAGTAGATCGATATGACATGTCATGTCGACATAAATGATCAAAATACCCCTGGTTGTCTGTTGAAGGTAAAAAAAATTACTATACCCTTTTGACCATTATGTGCCCTTAATATTATATCCCTCATCAAGTGGTCTGATTATCAGATCGTCAAATTTATTATCGACATCCCGGTGTGGGCAAATTGGTTACATAATTTGTCAAAGGTTAACGTTGTAAGAGGAGGTCAGTTTTGAATGATGACTAGCTTTGAGCTATGATCTGATTTGGTGGTTATCCGATCTCATGCTTATGTTTTAGAATAAAAGTATAATCAATTTAAAGGTTATTGAGGTGATAATTGTCTTGGGTGATTCAAGATTATTGCTAGAATTCATTTAACCATGGTGACACTTGTATTTTCTTTTGAAAATTTAGACTTAAGCCTTTCTTTTGAACCCTAAAAATGAATTAGGCTCTTAGTTTATCCCTGATAATTGTTTGGTTCGATTGGTCTAATCTGGAGTTCGTCCAATTAGGTCGATCTGATAGCATTAAATAAAAAAAGAAACAGTTTTAGTAGGAAAATTTAAAGTTAAAAGACGATAAGATGTCTACGTATTTATGGATCAACGTGTAGTGCAGATCATGCCATCTCTTTAGCCTGTAGCATGTCTATATAAAGAGGCTGATAAGGCTTCAACTTTCTAACTTTTACTTTCTTTTACTTTCAATCTGACCTAAAATTTTTTATCTCAATAACTTTTTTGCCTTTAAAGTTTTTTCTACACCTACTTCGGTATGTATTTCTAACCACATCTTCTAGTATGAGTTTTAAAGGGGCTGAGAGCTATAAGGTAGAGCTGAAAGGGGTCAGTAAGAGCAGCAGGATGACAACCCGATCCCTCTTATTATTGAAGGCCATAACTATACAAAGATAATCTACTGGTTTAATCCAATGTTTGAAGAAGGACAATAACGTAATAAAAAGAATGCTTAAACAAAAAATGAACGATTTTTTAGCACTAAAGAGTTATGTGCTCAGATCAACTTCAAACTTCAAAATCCACTTACTTTCCCTATCTTTCAGGTTGGTCCGTCTTCTATGGTCAATTTTTTTTTCTTTGGTTATTTTTTTTTTTTTGGGTTCAATCTCTTTCACCTCTTGCCACTTCTACTCTTCCTTCTCAATTAGTTTTTTTTAACATCTTATTTTCTTTTGAAGGGTTTTCATTTTATCCTTTTTTTTTTTGGATCGAGCTGCTTTCATCCACTATTCTTTCATGAGATCTATCTCTCACCTAAGAGTCAGATTCTTATAATGAAGGGAGTTCCAATGAGAAACAAGAGAAAATGAGCACCTTAATAAAAAAAAATGACAATGAGGGGAAAAGTATTATAAAGTAGGATGAACTTGTCGAGGTCCCTATATATACTCTATGTGACCTCAATACGATCCCTAAAGACATGATGAATGAGTTAAAAGATAGAGCAAATCCAAAAAATTGTCCTAACATATGCTTAACTCATCACGTTTGAGCTTTAGCTACCACTTTCCTTTTTTTCAAAAAAGAGTATGATATAATAATACCAAACTCTTCAGACTAGGTCACTGATAGACTAGGGCCACATCTGCTCTACGTATATTGGGATTTTTCATAACCGACTTGAGATTTCTACTTCATTCTTTATTCATTTCAATTTTTAATTATTACAATTTAACTATTACTCAACTCACCTAAATTCTATTTGGTACATAGTTATTTTTATTATTCTTTATGATGACTAAACATTCTTCTATCTTTCCCTCTACTCAGGGAGTTCTTCTTTCTTAAAAAACTTTTTAGTGGTCATAGGTGATTTTATATAATAGCTCGACTAAATAAAAAAATTCTCACTGATTGTCCGAGTTTAATAAAGAATTGAAAGTTACTTTTCCTATACCTTGAGAAATAGAAGGCTAATAAAGATGGTGGGCCTGATATTAAGGCTTGAAAAATAAATAGTACACATGGCTTTTTTGTGGACACATCGATGGCCCTCTCTATGTTTCATCTATCAAATTGAGATAAAATTTTAGATTTTACACATAGGGGGAACTCGTTATCGATGCTCATGAACTGACCTCCTCGAAAGTAATGAATAGAATAAAGTATTGGGGTAGGTTTGAGGTAACCTCATATGGTTTTATTTTAAATTAATTTTCCATCTAACTGTTAGCTAAATTTCATAGATATAATTAAAGTCGAGTAGAACTTCAACATCTCATTGTACCAACAAGTTTCAAGGCCCAAAAAGGAAAAAAATTTAGCTCGAAGCCTTGTCATGTGTGGGAGACAAGGTTATTAGTATAGTTATACCCTGTACTCTTTCAGATCGAAAGTCAATAACTAAGGCAGGTCAAAACCTGTCCTCCATATTGATGCCAACACCACCCCCTCTAACTAAAAAACCATGAGCAGAGATCTTGTCCTTTGTTTCTAAGAACCCTAAAGCTATAATGCTAAGGTTTAGCTTGAAGAGAATATATGTGAGATTGGAGTTTGCTTCAATGGATGACCTCGTCTCCAACATCGACGTTGCCAAGAGCTTTTGTAAGGTCGTGATTCTTCCTCTTGATGAGTTTTTCCTGACCTTAACTTGATTTCATGTGATTGTTTTTGTTTTTATTTTTCTAAGTCTAAGATCTTTTCATGCAATCCAAAAAAAGTTTCATTCTTAGTTTATGGAGAACAACAGTCAAACCCTCCATCATACTTATCTTATTATGAGATATATGCTATAGGCTAAGAAAGATATGGCTACCCTTTTCAATAAGCATAAGAAAAGCTCAAAAGCATTAGATAATGTTAGATCAAATCTCATCGTATTTCATAAGAAGAAGGATGAGCTGAGAAGAAAGGTAAACAAGTTGACAGCGAAGCTGAAGGTCATCTCAGTGGATAAAGCCTCAACAAAATTGATAAAAGAATAGGTCAAATTGAAACTTAATGATGCTCAAGTCAAAATTACGAGATTAAAGTTCGGGTTAGAGGTTCGAGATAAAAAAGAGAAAGAACTACAAATGAAGGCTGTGAAAGAGTATAAGACCTTTGAGAAGTGTCTCCAAGTAAAGGTAAAATTTTTAAAGAAAAATGTATTTGATGCCTTTTAGCTGGCTAAATATAAGGTACAATTTAAATTTTTTTCTCTTAACCTCACTATCTGATATTGACATCATCAATATCAAATCAAGTTCTTAGCAGAATCAACCCGAGAAAGATGAGAAAAAAAAAGACGAGGATAAAGATGAAGCCTTAGAGGATAAGCTAAAAGCTACCATGAAGACAGAAGAGAAAGATGTGAAGATCATCGAAGTTGACGTTATCCCTCCTATTCTTATTAATGAAAGTTCTCCTTTCGTCATTGCTGCTACTGATGAATAAATTTTGTAATTTTTTATTTTTAACTTTGTAAATTTTTTGACTTTGAGGTCAGCTTTTGGTAAATACCTCTCACACTTCAGTCGATGTATTTGGTTAAATGAAATAGAAAGAAATTTTTTTCAAGTTTCAGCTTGGTTGTACCATCATTTTTTTCTTACTTGCATAAGTTTGAGAACGGTTATCCAATCTAAAGGCATATAATTAAATTGAAAACTTACATAATTGTTTAGATCAATGAACATATAGGTTAAATTTTTTTCAAATCACTTAAACCCAAGCTTATCAAAGATAGTTTTAATTCATGTGTTCACGTACAAAATGTAAATCTAAGCTCGATTTGTATCGATCTACTGGTAATAGACTTTATTTGTATTTTATATACTTAGGATGGCAGTGCCATTTATAAAATAGTACAAGTGCGAGCTCGATTTATACTGAGTTACTAATAATAAACCTTTAAGTTGTCTACGTTTGACATTTTTGAAATGACGTTGCCATTTAGATTCTATAATTTATAGGTTGTATTGTGAACGATCTTCTTAACAATATATGATCCTTCCCACGTTGGGGCTAATTTGTCACCTCAATCATCTAACCTTGAAACTTTAACTTTTTTAAGTACTAGATCACCCTTCCTTATATGCTTACATCAGACCTTCTTATTATAATAGTTGGCTATCTTTTGCTGATAGGTTATGATCTGTGTTAAGTCTATATTTCTTTATTTTTCGATGAGGTTAAGGTTGACCTTAAGTGCCTCTTCATTTTTTTCTTTTGATGCTAATTCAACTTTTAAGCTTGATAGTCTGATCTCAACCAACACTACGACTTCTATTCCAAATGCCAAGTGAAAGGGGGTTTCACTAATAGGTACCTTCGTGATTATCCTCAAGGCTTACAAAACTCTTGGTAGTTTATCGACCCACTTCTCTTTTGCTGCATCTAGTCTCTTTTTTTAAATTTTTTAATATTGTATTATTTGTAATTTTGGCCTGTTTGTTATACTGAGGGTAGGCAACTAATGTGAACCTGAGATCGATGTGAAAATTCAAGCACCATTCCTTGAACCTCAAATTTTTAAATTGTTTATCATTGTCTGTTTATGGCATCTACTTGAAAGCTTGTACTTATTTTTTCAAAGCCTAAAATTGTTCCATAGTCAATCTCGTCTGTGGTTGAACTGGACGTACAAAATGCTGGCTTTGATGAGTTTTTATTCCAGCCAGAGCGATTGCCTCTCCTTCCTCTTGGGTTCTTCTCTTCTCGATTCTCTCTCTCTAACAAAAATCCAAAACCTTGTCTAAAAAAAACATTTTTAACCTAAACTCTCTTTGATTATTTTTAATTCATTTCTACTGGGTTCCTCACCAATTTAGTGAGGATTGTGATTTATCTGATTGTTGTATTTTTTTTGTATGATTTTTAGTTTTGAAGAACAAAAATAGCCCTTTGAGGAGTGGTGGGTTTTTTATGATAAATGGGTTTTAGCTAGGGTTAAAAAAGGTGTTTTTAGATCAATGATGCACGATTCTAATAAAAGAAATGATGGTTTGATTGAGTTAGAGGGTGGTTTTAGGTCACTATGAGAGGCTAAAGGGTTGTGATGGGTTGATTTTGCTTTGCTTTTCAGAGAGGTCGTGAAGGGCTATATAGTGAGAGATAGGTTTTTTTTTTTTTTTCAACAGGTCTCCTTGTAATTTCAAGTACTGCCAAAATGGTGGTTTCGACTATAATGGCTCTAAGGCTAGTAAGGTGGCTGATGGGGAATGGTTCAGTGGTGGGATGGTTAGGGTCAATGAGGTTGGCCGAATAAGGGCTGTGTGTTGAATTGGTGACGATGAGAAAGGTCAAATTGAGGGTTTGAAGCTATCTTGTTCCATGTATTTTTTTTTTTATTTTTTTGGATAATGGAAAGGCTTTGGCTATTAGGGATTTAGAGTTTTAGTGATGGTTGTTGTTGCCCATTTTTATTCCCTTTTTTGTTGGAATGATGGGGGTAATAATGTGGGATAAAAGGTCTAGCATTTTTTTGGGTGTTGTTGCAACAACTATTGCTGCATTTTAGGGGTAATGCTTGTTGCATTTGGGGCTAAGTGTCTTTTATGAATTCATGTTGAAAATGAATATGGGTAAAATATGGGGAAAGACAGGGGATAGCTGGAGATGGAATTTAGCATAGCTAATTTTAGGATAAAGATAAAGCAAAAGGGAAAACTCTAGCAATCAAAATTCACCCCTCCATTCTCACTTTGCATTTTTTGTGTTTTTGATTTTTTGCTTTGTCTTTTTATTTGTTTAATTAATTTAAAATCTAATCAAATGGACATGGGCTATAAAATTATTTCAAATTGGACTTTCAAATCTTATTTCAAAATTGACTCAATAATAAAATTAAATTCGACTTAGGCATATGAAAAAAAATAACAAAATGATTAATTTGAAATAAAACCCAATCCAGTTCAATTTAATTAAACATCTTAATCGGCCTAAATCGAAACATTCGAATCAAGTATAAAAGCAAATACACTCGAATTATTCTAGACAAAATTAAGTGTCTACAACAAAAAATAAGTTTTTGTTTCCTTTGTGTATTTGATGATGATGGTGATATTTAAGCCAAAGAATTTGTGGTCCTAACAAGTTGAATTCAATGTTTAGCTCCTCTGTACATGAACGGTGGACCAATCACAAAAGTAAGTCCAAAAAACATGAGAAAAGTGTAGTATTCTATTTGTTTTATTGGAACTTTCTTATTATTATTATAATTTTTTTTTGAGAATTATTTTATAATGAGTGGTCTATGTGTAGTCACGTGAGTTAATTATATAGCAGAAGTCAAGTTATGGCTATCATATAGTTCTTAAATTGAAAGTATTCTTTAGTATAGTTTGCTAAGAATAAAAAAAATAAAAAAATCTAAAATAACGACTAAACCAATCTACTTAAATTGGTTTGGTTAATTTTCATTTTCATTTCATTAAGCAATCGGTTCCTTTTTTTTATAAATTAAATCAATTTAGTTAATTTTTAATTTTGTATAATTGAATAATCTGAACCGACTAAATGCTCAATTGAATAAAACTTTAACTTAATTGTAAGAAAGAAGTTTTAGAATTTTAAAGTCTTAGGATCAAATTTCATCGTATGTGAATTTAGTTGTTTAGTTAGGTTATAATTTATTAATTAATTATTTAGTAATGAATTAATTATATGAATATAATATTTATTATAAATATAATTTAAAAAAAACGAAATTGTGGAATAAAAAAATAAAACTGCATGTGAAAAAAAAAAAACCCAAAGATCATAAAACCGGCCCAAACACCCAAAAATTAAAAAGCCAAAAGTAAATATTCGAACTTCGAAATATGTTGTTATTAATTTAATTAGGCCGGTTTTTATTTGGGCTACTAAAACTCATGACAAAATTAAAAAGGAACAAATGAAAAATATATTGCCAGGTCAGCAGTGCAGACCATATTTATGGAAGCTTTTAAATTGTTCTCTAACGGCTAGTCTCTTTTCTTCCAATCCAAACCCCAAAATTCCTCTCCTTTTGTCTTCCCTTCCAAAAACCCTAACTCCAATTCCTAATTATTTCTAATATCCCACTTTTTTTTCCCTTTTCACTCTACGGTTTTCTTAAAAAAATCTTTTGTTTTTAAAATTAAGTAAAGATGTAGGATTCTTCAAGAATCAAATTTTTGAGGGATGGAAAACATGGATATTACTCAAGAAATCGACGATTACATAAAGAACAATAGAAGATTCCTTAGGTCTTCAAATCTCCACCCAGTCTTTGCAATTGAAACTCCGTTCCTCCGTAGAAGCCCAGCGTCGTCTCCGTGACCAGTGCCTGTTTCTTCTCTGAAAACTGAAAGAGAAAGATCAAATTATTGAGCGATCAAAGGTCGGGCAACTCGAAAATTAAAAAAAAAAAAAGTAATATTTGAATGTTTTTATATTCAGAATGTGAAGGTATTGACATTTTTATTGATTTTTTGAAGGCGGGAGCGAATATGAATGCGGTGGCATTGAAGAGATTCGTGGAGGAGAATCAGAAGCTTGCAGCGGAGTGTGTGAATTTATTGACTCACTGTAACATATGGGAAAGAGAGAGTTCGCTTTATGATGTAACAAATGGGAGGCGTTGATGGATTATGGGAATGAGGCTGATGAGAGGGCAAAGGAAGCTGAGATTAGGGTTCATGAGTTGGAAGAGGAGCTGGGGAAGTTAAGTGAAGAATTAAAGTTCTACAAACATGGTTACGAGAGCCAAGGGGTAAATTAAATTTTTTTCTTCAATTTTTTGTTACTTTGTTTTGAATTGTTGACTTTTTTAGGGCAGCTTTAATTATATTTTCGTATCTTGTAGTAAATAATGCGATTTTGTTGGATTTAATTGCTGACTTGTGGAAACTTAGCTTTGAAAGGGACGGGTTAAACATCTAAACTATTCTTGATAAAACTATTCTTCTTTGTTGCTGCTAGTGATGATATGAGTTGAACACCATGAAACTACTTGAAGGAGATTAATTTCTATTTTTAATTGTCTATGATTGATCAGAAAACCTGCCATGATACATAGTTTTGTCTTGTAGTATTATATCTACTGACTAATACTCATATACCTTTCTTGAAGATTGATTCATCTTATGAGGGCACAACTTTGAAAGAGAATTTGCTTGAGTCTGTTCTAGTAACATTGATTTGTAAAGATGAAGTTATGCCTTGACGTGCATTCTTGGAGGCATATAATTCACTTGAATCGTGTCAAAGGTTGCTTAAATTTTGGAATACGTGAGGGTTTTCTTCTCTTATTTCTATGTCGAATCTGCATCTTTGTTGGTCTCTATATTTGGTGCATGCAATTAAAGAGGCATTAACATTTCTTCACTGCTAAGGTCTACTCTCGTATTTCTGAATCAATTCTTATGGTTTGTTGTGCTTTGCAGGTTGAGGCCTTCAACTCAAAAAGTTTTGTCACTGGCTGCTGAACTAAAGACCCATGAGAAAGACAAGGAACATCTCAGGATGAACCTTAGTAAAGCTGAAGAAGAGGTGAGAACCAAGGAATTGGAACACTGGGTGCTTTGTTTAAATTTTTACTTCCCTTGTCAGTATTTAACAAGATATTTTATCTATGTAGGTCAAAGTTATCTTTGAAGAAAACAACATATTGGATGAGGAGAACAAAAGACTGTTGAGGCAATACCACAAAGAAAAGAACCTCCATGGTTCTGGCGGAAAGCATACTGGTAATGCATCTGCAAAGGTGAGGAAGGAACACGTCGGGTTCTCTGTTTTTTTTGGTCTGCACATGAGTGCTTGTTTTCACATGTAAAAACAAGTGCACTTCCTGCTTGTGTCTGGTCTGCAGTTACAACTTCATTGATCTAATGCTATTATTTGGTTGTCTCTCACACAGACAAACAAGCGAAAATCAAGTCCCAAGATATGCAGCCCAATTGAGAAGAAGATTGACTTTACTGATCCAGATTCAGCAAGGAAGTGGATTGGTTATTCTTTGTATCAATGATGGTGTTAGAAGTGGATTTACAGATAGCTTTCCTGAAGCTACGGTGTGTATAGTTTTGTCACTAATAACTTACTTTCAAGCACCAGAAGGAAAATCATTTTTTAAAAAGTAATTTTCATATTTTGCTTTTCTTAGCATGGTCCTAACTGGAGACTACTAAATTTGTAAAGGGTTAAACATCTAAATTTATAAAGGTCCAGGTCCAGCCATAAAATGTATGGAGTGGGATCTTTCGGTCGGACTCTCAATTGGAGACTGTCACTCATTGAATTTGAAGTGCGCGGTTTGGTTGTCTATATTCCACCCTTCGACCACCTCGTTCTGTTCCTATGCGTAGTCGTAGATAGTTTCGTTTGTGATAGTTACTCAGATTGTTTTGCTTCCCAAAATATCGATTTGTCTTGTCTCCTTATCCACCTCTCACTCTCAGAAAACCTCAAAGAAACTCTTTCAAACCTCCAAACTCTTAAACTGATGTACTATTCTTTCTTCTAATGGCTCTGCTTCGCCTTCCCCACCAATCTTCTGTCTTCTCCCTCCAACATAAACCTCAAATTCAGTCTAACTTTGAACTCCATCAAAAACGTCTCTTCAACTTGTTTTCTCCCTCCATTCTCTCCTCTGACTAATACCTTTCCCTTGAAAGCTACAAGATTTAGCAATTTCGTCCTCCATTTTTCTGCCACTACACAAGACCCAGTTCTAAAAGTTGAAGAACAAGAAGGAGAGTTTTTTCAAAAACTAGATTGATTGCCCAGAACGTGCCTTGGACTTGAACCACTGAAGACATTCGTTCTTTGTTCGTGAAACACGGCACAGTCTTAGATGTTGAGATTTTTGTCAACAATTTTCTCTTGGATTCTCTTTGTTTTAAGAATTTATTTTTTTTTTAGGTTAAATTTGGGTTTTGGTTTATGGCTGATAGATTGATGTGAATGTGTTTTTTGTTTTATTTTGTTTGGTTTGGTTTAGCTTTCTATGCACAAAATACCATAAATAGGGGATTGGCTTTTGTTTCTATGGCTTCGCCAGCGAAGGCTCTTGCGGCTCTCAAAAATCTCGAATCATAAGTAAGGTTCTTAAATTCAGTGATGACAAAAGTATATAACTGTGCATTAGTACATGAATGTTTCAGTCATTTAAGCTCTGTGTTATTTTGGTGTTCCTATCACTAAATTGAGTATTCTTTGGAATTTATAAATGCTGTTGTTCTATCGAAACAAGTACTAGTTGGGTGATTAGCTCTTTTATAGGCTTAATTCTAATCCTTTCTATACCCATATATAACAACTGTTGTTACTTAGATTCACAATGACTGCTCTTTGATTTAACAATGGACCCCAAAAATGCAGTGAAAGTGCAAGGACTGTCCTAGCCTTTTAATAGACCTTTCCATTAGCATGCCTTTGGGTGAATCGAGTGCTGGAAGCTGCTCCACTGTTGTGTTCTTATTGCAAAGGAATCACAGCCTGTCAAGGCTTGTATCAGCCCTAACAAATTTCAAAGGTATATCATTTGTTCTGCATTATCAGCAACATTGATTCAAAGGTATCTGCAAACTCTATAGATGTTTAAGTTGGAAATCATTCCTATCTCCCAAGAACCGGGCAGCCAGCAAAGTATTGCTGAGGTCTTTGTCTGCCTTTTTGTTTCCTCAACCGAGAAGAGAATGTAAAAATCTTGGGGAGTGGCAGTGGGAGTGGGAGATGGAATTCAGCTCTGGCGTGTATCGTGCATGCTTGAGTATGAAAAGATGGTAGGGGAAGGAAAGAAAATATGCTTGGTCTTTCAGATATCCACGCTCAGGTTTGATTAATATGTGATGCATGTGCCATGGAATGTCTCTGTCTTCGGGCTTTCTAGTTTTTTTCATTTGTCCATTCCTCTCTGCCCTCTGTTACGCATCGCTTAAAGAAGAGGAAAACAAATATGTTCCTCTGCTTTGCATTTGCAATTAAAAATTGAAATAGTTCTTGCCATGAATTATCACACATCTCTTATGCAAATGCAAATTTCAATTTTGCATTTGGGATCTTTTTTTTTTTCCCACCGTGAAGCCAATCCCAATATTCCGAACAAAAGAGCTTTAAATTAATCCCTTAAGTTGCTGTAGCACAATAGTTTACAAGCCAGTAAAATTTTGGAGTTTGGTAAATTGAGAGTAAGCAAAACTATTTGGGGAGATGAAAATTTTCGATTCCAAACAATTACAGCATTGTTTATTTGTGTAGAGAAAATGTTTACTGCAACGGATGGGAAGATGGAAATATCAGCTGAGGCAGCTAGCTATTGCCTATTCGGTTGTTTCATGATTTATGAATTTACATGATATGAACTAGATTAGCTTTATCACATCAGTCGAGAATGAGAGCTGAAAGCACTGAGATCTCAAAACTGTGAACAAGAGAAATATAGAAAAAGAGATCCAATTGGTTTTGAAAGTCCACCAAATTATAAGGTAGAACCTCACTTTTTTTTTTTTTTTCCATTTCTCCTGAAAATTTATTACTAGGTTTTTTCTTCTTTTCTGGCAGTGGCTGGCCGCCTTGGTGAGGCAGAGGTCCCAATAGGCTAAAAGGAGGAAGACAAGAAGATTGCATCCAGGTGAAGAGCAAAGGAATGTTATCTGGTGAAAAAAGTTGGTAACGGGGGATCCACAAACAGGGTTCGGTTGGTGTTGTAGGGTGTGATAATTCACAGAACCATGACCAGGCTAGCTAATGTCGGATCCTAAAGGCAGTTGGCCTTAAACCAACTGGACCCCAAAGACTCAATTAACCAAACCCATTAACCGAACCCACCATCTTATTGGGGTTGAAAAACCAACTTGATTAGCAACAAATCGAGTCGAGGGAACCCAAGCCGCTGTAAATGGCCCATAATGGCCAGACTTAATTAGCTTCAAGGAAGGTGTTTTTAGTTAATGTGTTGCTGATCGTAGAATTTCTCCATGCGCTTTGGCCTTCACTTTTTGCGTTTGTAATCTCCGCAACACCATTTTAGAGTTCTTGTCATTCAATGGAAAACCAATCGGGCCATTGAAGGAGTGGCCAAATGAATTGATTTCTGATGCAAAAAATCCATCATTTGACTAAGATTTTGGCATTGGAAATCCGCCATCCAACATCAATTAATTCCGTATTTTCACATGAATACAGGAACTATTCATACAATTCGACCAACAAATTATTTGTTTTTGGGTGATTTTAGCTTTTTACTTTGGATGTACAGGAAAACGATCTTTCCTCGTCACTTGAGTTAAATCATGCCCCCGAAGACTTAGTCTCGGGTTTGGTGGAAGGGTTATACATGCCATTGGCAAAATTATACAAGGGATACCATTTTTTTTTTTTTTTTGGGAGTGGGGGGTGGGTGTGATAAAGGGATTTGAATTTTACTCAGTAGGAGATCATGCATTAATCGACTGAATCAAATGTTCAAGTACGTACCAATTTAATTTGAAATCGAGAATAATGCCATGACATTGTCCTGTGTTATTCTCTGTTTTCCTTTGGCGACTTTTAAGTTACCATTAATCTTTCATTCCAGGAAAAGCAAAAAAATTTCCATTAATCATAAATTCTTTTGCTCCGATTTGCTGGTGTTGTCAAAGGGTAACGGGATTATTGAAAATTTTCAATCCATGTCCACATAGAACATGATGCAAGTTACAACAATGAAAAATAACTTATAATATACGATGTACCTACCTATCGCCATGAAAAGTAACCTGCTTATTCATAAAGATAAGCAATAATCCTCGATACAAACTAGACAAAAAGGAGATAAGCACTGCCTCTATTCTGACCAAGGCGGACACTGCGGCATGCTTATGAAATAAACATCACAAATAACGCAACCCAAGTTGTGACAAAAGCCACAAATGGAGAGAGACTCCATGAAGATGAGGAATCCGGGACGTTGGTTGTTGTAGTTGTAGTAGATGGAGTGGTAGTTGATGGTTTATCACTGGATGGCGGCAAGGAAGAAGAAGAAGAAGATGGTGATTTGGATGGTGATTTGGACGGTGATATGGATGGTGCTATGGATGAGCCTGACTCCACTTTGACAGCAAGCTTCATGCCATTCCCACAATGGCTAATTACACCACAAATGAAGTAATGAGTTCCAGCAGTCTTGAGAGCAACCGTGGTAGCTCCACTGTTATCTGTTGTGATTGCATTGCCCACAGTGCATGTACTGTAGTCACTGGAACTTACTTCATCCACTGTATGGCTAGTTGGGTAGTTGAAGACTAAGGCACCAAAATTCGAAATGTTAGTGGATGGATCAAACAGTATTTGACTAATAATTAAGTACATGAATATGAAAGATCTAGATAGATGAGTAGGTTTATGTGTACAAATATGTTGATCAAAAATGAAATATAATTATTTAAATTGATGATTGTGTGAGGATCGGCATTTTTTTTTTTCTGTGAGAGCGGGGTTTAAGAACACACCCAGGCTATCGCCAACTTGGAAGGTCTTGCCTTTAGTCCATGTGCTATAATCAACACCAATTGTCCAGCCAGAGGTGTCACCAACAGTGTAAACTGTGGCCAAGCTTGGCACCGCCATGCACAAGACTAGCGAAAGACAGGCCATCCCCATACTTGAGCTTGCCATTTTTTTTGTGGAAAACTGGACGGAGTAACACTGTAAAACAGACAGACAAAAGAAAGGGAGGAGCTTTTGTGATAACAATTTTCTGAAATGGAGTTCCTTATATAAGCCATGAAAGGTGCGATGGAAGGAGTAAAGTTTGGTCCAGTCCACTTACTTCCATACAAACCAATATTTGTGAAAAAGGAATTCATTCCAAAAGGATGACTTGGGGGGCAGATCCTATACCTAATGCAAAGGAACGTGGGTCCCTAATCCTGTCTTTCTCTCTTTTGCCCTTCACATAAATAATGGCTGTTAAGTAAGGTTACCCTCATAGTGGTTATGATATTGTTGCTACAAAGCCAGTTCAAAGGACATCAATTATGCATTCAATATAAAGGAACTCAATTGATATATATTTAATTTATTTTAAGTGATCTTTTTACCTCTTGTAATGATGGATTGTGAATGAAGAAAAACATGAAGAAAAAAAATCTTGTTTTCTTCTGAATCTTAGTAAACAGGTTAGTCTGTTGTCATCGTGTGGTGTTGCCATCATTGAGTTTTGTGAGAGGCTCTTGTCAAACGGATGAAGAAGGTCATAATCATCATAATGGATAAGGAGAGATGTTATGTAACAGGATGGAACAGGTAATAACATGCTTGAAGCCTACTCAAAGAAAAATGTGATCGATATCAAGGAGACTAACCCTCTTTGAAACACAAATCTCACATCCAACAACCCCAAAAGGGGTATTTTTAAATTGCGTGCGAAAGGAAGACTGGATACGTCCTCGGAGGACTTCCAACTAACAAGAAGCTGAAACAGTGAAAGAAAGGGAAGGGAGTGCAAATAAGAACATTCGCTTTGAGCTTTCGGCCTGACGAATGCATGGGAGCGAGAGTTCGTACCATGTTACTTTGCATAGGAGTGTTATCTTTGATTTTGTCCATGAAAAGATTTAGGGGAATGATGTAGCGTCAACACTTGCATTGCAGGTTACAGTGTTTGTATATACGGACTCTTCGGATTGATATGGTCATTCTCTGGGCTTTGTTTTGAAATGATCCTTTTGAACAATCTAGCTCTAAAAGTTTTACTGTTTAAGAAACTTTGGGCTTCGTTTGAACTGTTAGTCTAATAAGGCCATTCTTAATTTCCTTCTTGGCCCAATTTATTTTAGTTTTTTTTTTTTGGAAGTTTAAAGGACAAATCTATCTTCATACTATGGGAATGATGGAAATTTTGCCAATGCTATTTTTATTTTTATGATTTTTGGACCGTAATTAATGAAATGTAAATATTACTTAAAATTAATTTTGAATAAAATAAACATATGATATGATATTCAACATGTAAAAATATATATATGATGTGCCACACAAATAAAAGTTATTATTTGTTTCTTATAAAAATTATACTAAAATAAATGTTTTTTAAAATATTAAATTTTAACTTTTCATAGATACTTTTTAAACTATTAAATTTAAACTTTTCTAAAAAATATCTAATTTATCAAATAGAAGGAATTGTGATAAAAAATACAAAAAAAAAAAAAATTAATGAGGAGAAATTAAAGAGATAAAGCAATTGGATAAGAATTAAGATGTAGATTAGGATAGAACTTGAAGTAATTTTGTAATTTTGTAATTTTTCTATTATCAAGGCATGAAGCTTGCTGTCAATGTTGAATACCTATATTATCAAGACATGGCTGAATCAACCCCAATGCTATCTGGCCGGACACCATCTCCTGGCTCCATCACTGCTTCCTCCCCGCCTGCTAGTAATTGAGGGAAGCATATAACGTACCTGAATTCTCCTCTTGAGGGGATCTCTGATTTCGATATGTTGCCTAATTTGTTTATTTGTGTTGGCTATTTCACAAGCTTTGGCAAAGGTGCCTAGTCCCCACCCTGGTCAAGGGATAGACAGACCAATGGAGACACAAGTTACCTCGTTTTCAGTTTGTTTTGGGGAATATCGCTCATCTTTATGAATAAGAGAAGGTTGTCTCCCATACATCATTGAAAATCCAAATAACCCCGTTGATAATCCTCTTGGGAATACCAGCAAATTAGAGCAAAAGGAAGCAGCGTTTGTAGGAAGCAGCGCAAATATTGAGCTCATATTCCCTAATTGTGATTCGTACAAATTAATTTCAACTATGCCCTCAATTATGGTCACCAGTTTACATAACACAATTCTCCAATTAATTTCAACTGATCACTAGCTAGATTAAACTTCTACACCTCAACTTCTTATTTTCTATATTTTGAGTTGTGTACATCATGATTTTGGCAGTCCAATTCCGAATGATTAATGCAAATGTAAGTTTTTTTTAAGCTACGTTTTAGGACAAAACATGGAACATGATTCGTGTGGTCTAGCTGGCGAGTGTACGATGTATTTAAAGGTGACAAATGCACGTGTATTTGTAACATGTTGTCCATTAATAAAAGCTGTGACCACGTAACACTTGTTTATCCCCCAGCATCCCCCGCCCCCCACCAAACAAAAAGAAAGAAGAAAAAGAACTACAAACACTAATCTCAGTCTTTCCAGCTGTCCCTCGACATGACCAATCACGTAAAGACAGGACACCCTCTCCAGTCTCCACGTTACCTACACTTACTTTCCGTCTTTCTCGCTCCCACTGATCATCTTTTAAATTTCTTTTAACATTAATTAAAATCAACTGAGATAACACATAAATGTAAATATAAATATAATAATATAAATAATAGCAACCGAGAGGAATCAAATCTCAACCGTCAAATATAACTAAAAATTAACAAAAAATAAAAGAAAACAAATGCTCTACTAAAAGTCCTACTAAAAATAAGAATTTAGCAATGGCCTACAATGCAAATCAACAATCGAAGTCCTCCACGAAGTCAGATCTACATCAACAAAGCAGCAGCCGCCAAAACCACTGTAACAGCAGATCCAGCGACAGTGACTCTGTTTAAAGCGGCGGCGCTTGGAGGAGAAGTGGGTGACGGGCCTGGTGGCTGGCTGATGGAGGACGTAGGAGGAACAGCGCCCGTGGGAGCACCAGCAGGAGACATGGGAGGAGCGGGAGGAGAACTGGTAGGAGAGGAAGTTGGAGAAGATTTAGGAGTTGAAGACGGGGATTGTGTGGTGGTTGACGGTGGAGAAGCGGCGGGAGCCTTGGTTGGAGAGGCCTTGGGAGCTGTAGTTGGAGAGGACGGCGGTGACTTAGTTGGGGCAGAGCTGGGCGCTTGACCGAGAGCGCAGCTGGCTATGAGAGCTAAGAGAACAAAGCAAGCGATAGATTTGGCCATTGTAATTTTGTAAAAAAGAAGAGCGAATATATTAACAGCAAAAGAAGCAGCACTAGAGCAAAGCAAGAGGAGGGAGGAAGGGAAATATATAGAGAAGGTTTAGGCCTTGGGCATTGGGCCTTGGCCCTTGGCCCTTGGGAGATTTTGACCGACATATTTTTTCATTCCTTGTATGCCTTCTTAAACTTTGGAGTTTTCTGATTTCCTTTTAAAGGCCCAATAGTTCATGCTTAGTTCAATTTAGTCCATACTCTAGACATTCAAACTTCAAAGTTTTGAATTATTTACATTACTCAGAAAGTAAGATCATAAAAGGATAAAAATATGTTTAAATTTTCTTTTTTCTTTTTTTAAATAATGAAAAACATATATTGTAGGGTATAGCATTGTGAAGGAATAGAATAATTAGTTGTTAGTTAGGTTCTTGTTTACTATTTCTATAAGTTGGAATTTAGTAGATGAACAATGTTAAATCTATGTTTCCTCATTTCACTTATGAGAGTTCAAACTCCTCATACATGATTTAGAAGAAAATTAATATGGACAAAAAGTTTAAGAACTTAAGTTATTCTCTTAAAAATTTAATAGAAAAGTTAAGCTACTCTATTAATTGTACATTAATTATATGCCTACAAACTAGTATTTTTCTTTGAAATAAATATTGGCATCATTGTGTCTCAAAAGCCATTGCATAGTGTTCTTAATTATCAACAGATATGGACTTAAAGTGATAACAAAATTATTTATTTTTTGATTAATTCAAGTTTAAATTTATTGAAAAACTATAAGAAGATAATTTTTTATTAATAACATCTTGCTTTAATTAAAATTTTTAACCAATTTGAAAATTTGAACTAAATCTAAAAACTCCCTATAGTTGACATTGCAACAAAAAAAAATATTATTAAAGAAATTTAACACCAAAAAAAATTACAAGGGGCATTTCACAATTTATAGAAAGTGTAGGGGAAACAAGTGAATCGATCTCCAGGAACAGAGACGTGTTTGTTCTTTATAAAAGGTCCAAGCCCAACGCATAATTGACTTACACGTGTAAGTATTCCTTTTGACAACTCAAAAACGCGTTTATTTTAAGCATTCTAGATGAACGGCCACTGATCGTTGGTGAAAACTTTCCCTCAAAATTTCTTGATTTCTGAAATTAAGAAAAAAAAAAAAAAGTCTCCTAGATCAAAGCAATTCGTAATTTAATTATGAGCAAAAATTCTGCTAACCGTTATGATTGGCACGTTGTTGGTCCAATTTTTCATTGACGGGGACTATCGTTTTCAAAATGTAGGCAAAAGAAATAGTACGCAAATCATACCTTAATGTGTATAAAAATTTTTTAAAAAGGAAATAAATTATTTTCTTTGATTATTATTTTATTAATTAATGTTGTCTCCTTTTAGTTTGTAATATGTTAAGATTAAAAAAAAAAAAAAGCTTTGGAGTTTTTTTTTCTAATAAAACAAAATTTATTGTACTATTTTACTAACTTAGATACCAATATGTAACAATTTTCACTTGGAGATTTATATGCATATATAAATTATTTCTGTTAAAAAAAATGAAATTATAGATTTTTATCCATTTTTATGGATAAAGCATAAGAAAATTAACTTTACAATATATCTTTTAATTAATAATGCATTTGAAAGCTATAATTATTGAATTTGGAATCTAACAAATTAGTGATTTAAATGCTAAATCATTTGTAACTGAATTTTATTATATGGTTCAAAAAATTGCATGTCATCATTAATGGTTAAATTTTCGAAGCAATGCAAACGTAATTAAGAGAAAAAAAAAAAAAAACAAAGAACATGTGTAAATTAAAATATTTAGTTTTTTATATTTATAATATTGAGCATTTAATTAAAAAAAAAAAACAAATTGGGTTCTTTGTGGTAACATGTAGACAACTAACCAAGTGGTCCACGCCAATGTACACTTTGTTGTCACCAAGCATTAAGCAATTATATAGATTCATTTTATATTAATTACAAACAGTTAAATGCTTTTTATTTAAGTTGTTTTTAATTAAATTTTATACAATTATTTTTAAAAAATAACATTTTATAATTTTAATGTTCAAATTTTAACATTTATAATTTTTTTATCTTCATATTATGATTTTTTATTTTACAATTTGGATTAATTCAATTTAATAAATTCTTTGATTTCAATTTAAGTTATATTAAATTGAAAATTGACTAATAATTTCATAATAACATTAATTTTAACACAATACATTACATCTCATCATGATTTATCATTAATTTAAAAATTGAATAATTTATCTATTTGAATTTATTAATAAGGTCATTTTAAAAATCGAACAATGTATTTATCCAAATTCATTAAAGGAAAAAATGTAAAATTAAATTTGTCAAGGTTTTCTTTTCCATTATTTTTTGTTGATGAGAAGATGAAAACCTGGAGATCCAAATTGGAGATGAAGACGATAACAGTGTGGTCAACATAAATGTACGTGAAATAGCTTTCAAGGAGGCACAATCATAACCAGCTGCTGAATATTCGTTCCAAACGCGGGTCTCCATCTATCTGTCATTGATCAAAAGTTCTCCACCAACACATGATAAGGTCCCTGAAACACTCAACCGTAAACCCACCAACCCTTTCTATTGGTTTCTTTTAAACTTTTTCTACTAAAATCCAGCTTATTTATTGGTTAATTTTACTCAAATATAAATCATATTCCTTTTTTTTTTCTTTTCATTTCAAATATATATCCAATCAATCAATAATTTGTAACTGATTAAGGTACTTTAAACTAGAAAACAACAACATTCTTAAAAACTGAGGTTGTTGTAACTTATGACAGCTTAAGCACATGACGAGGATTCTTTTTAGTATTAAATGGGATGCTAGCAAATATTGGTATTTTTGGGGGAAAATGATGACAGTTTGTTAGTGTAAAAGCAAATACGAAAAACATACTTTAGTAGTAGTAAGTTGCAAAAGAGAAGGATTTTGCCAATGCCAGCGGTCCACCCTTCAGGTAAGGTAAGATAATAAGATAAACTGATAAGCAAGAGAAGAAATTAGCATCAATCATGGCGATGGGGCGGGAAAATCAGAATACTACCCCAATGCTCAGCTACTGAAATGAACCGCTGCCACAAAAATACAGCTGTAAGTTAACAAATTAACAACTTTATTATTGCTTAAAATTTTCAATTGGAAGGAGTATTTTTTTCAATCTTGGTTTTTAATTTCAACGTGTTTATGCATCTAATTTGATAAATGGGATAAGGAAAAGTTTGTATCTCATTTATCAAATCAAATTCCAAACTGCTTTTACTCACAAAATCAATATATATATATATATATATATATATATTTCATGCTTACAAGCATTTAATTCAATTCAAATGGTAAAGGTATGTATTTCTTACTCAAAAAAATAGAGTTTAGATATCAGAAAATTAACTATATTTTATTTCTTGAGCATTGCATAATTATTTCGTTTCACATTTTCTGAGAACTAAAAGATTAGCAAGCTTCGCTGCAAATATCAACAAACCGGAGCGTCCCTTTCCATTATAAATCCATCTCTGGTTCAAACTAGGATGATTAGCTCATAATTTAGCTTCAAGAAGAATGGAAGAGTAGGGAGCCACATTCTAGGCGCTCCCAATTCCAGGGACTCCTTCACGGACAAAATCATCAGGAGATGGAAGATTCGTGTCAACCTGCAATTTCAACAAGGATTCGTAACCTCAGATTCAGATTTAAGTTATCAACTATGAGTAACAGAAAGACAGATGCAAAATCAACATTAACACCAACCAAACCATTAATCCAAGCAATGTGTAGCTTTATAGAGTAAAATTGCAGTTCATAATAAAGTCCATTATTGCGATAATAATTCTAATAAAATCTTCATTTCCAATGAAATATCTAAAGAGTGCCAAGGTGAATAGCTATATGTTAATGTGACTTTTCATTTTCTATGAAGCAACTGTAGCCGACGGAGATGAGTATGAAATCTGGCCTTTTAAATATATGAAACAAATTTAGAAAAAATTAAACATACTTGGACACATACTGGTATCCGACATTCACTCCCAAACTCCCAAGTATGAGTTATCGTTAGTGAACCGAAATAGCAGAAACATCAGCAGTTGAACACCAAACAGGGTTAGAAAAAGTAAAACATAAAACTAACCACATGGGACCAACGCCTCTTCGATGGTGGTGGAGGTATAGAAACTTTAACAAAATAGTCATGAGCATTGAATGCCAGATAGATATCTCCACAACTGTTGTCATGAAGCCTGCAAAAACTAATTTTGCAGAAGTGAATGGGAAATGCACTGCTATGATGTTTAAAAACTAAAAATAAATATATGCACACACATAAAAACAAAACAGGCACATTGGGCAAGCCCTTATGTAACTTAAAACAACATCAGTCAGCCTCCAAGAGTTTTCAAATATGGGACTCATGATGCACATGATAAAGCAACCAAAATTGTTCTTTCCCAACACTATAACCAATTAAAAAAAGCCAAATGTGGATATAACAAGGAAAATGGCATATAGCAACGCAATCACACTAAGCAAAATGGAATATCAACAACCTATTAAGAGGCATGAAATTTCTTACGTAAATGCAAGGAATTTGCTGTCAGGATTTTCCCAGTTATCCTCATGCCAAGTCACATCACCCTGCACCCAAAGCACCTATTGAGTTCCAAGAATGTGAAAGCAAAGGTAGTTTCATCAAGACAGGTGTAAAGAGATGTACTTTGCTGAGTGAAGAAATCTCTAGATAAAACTATTTTATTCTTCTATATTTTTCTTATTACAATGCCTGAATTGCATGAAAATATATAAGCTAAAGACTGAATATTCTCAGCTTTAAAAACTCAAGATTTTCATGCATTAAAACAACTAATCAAAAGAGTAATTTATTTTCTACACATAATAGGAAAATATCTATAGATTTGGTGTAATTACCCAACTCACTTCTTATTCTAAAAATAAAAGACTTAACTAAAATAGATAGTCAACTAATCAAGTAATAATGAAGATTAGATTTTCATACTCCCCCTTAAGCTAGGTGGTAGATGTCAATCATGCCCAAGTTGGACTTCAGATTCTCGAAGTTGTTTCGAGAGAGAGCCTTAGTGAATATGTCTACAGTTTTGAGGCATGTGGGAGTATAAACTAATCTAATAATTCCTTCCTCAATCTTTTCTTTGATGAAGTGATGATGAATCTCC